ACCAGAAACTCCTTGCTCCTGCCGTGTGTGTCATGTGTGTGTGCGTCATGTGTGTTATTTGTTATTTGTGATTGTTCTTGGGTTTGTTTATTTATTTGCTTTGCCAGTTCATGGGGCATGGCGCGAAGCGATCTCCCTTCTGGCATGACTGATTCTACCCTGGACGAGTATGCACAAACACCCCTGGCCATGTCTGCCCGCCTGCTCGCCTGTATGTGTATCCATATGTTCTGATTGATTGCTGGGAATTTGTTTGGTTGTTGTCCATTGGATAAGAAAGGGGCTCGCAAATTTGAGACACTTTTCACCAGAGCAAACCCATTAATGTGGCAGGAGGGTGGCTTTAACAAATGACTTCGCCATAGTTTCCGATTCTAAATGTTTTCGTATAATCCGCTTCAATAATCCAGTCTATTTGAATCATAAATTTCCAATTAAATTTAAAGTTAGCTGAATGGCTCTTTAATATTAATGAACAATCTTTTTGCCAGCGATTGCTATCGGTGCAAAAGTTAAAAAACTCAATTATACTCAAAGGGAATGAGCTCTCGCTTGGGCTGAGCATCAAGCTAAGCAGAAGGCCCACACAGCCAAGAACCCAGAGAGCCCTGAGAGACCCAAAGGGCGAAAATAGCTGCCTGATGCAGTTCCTCGTCTTTGATTGGGCCACTGCCTGCTCAGCTGCTTTGTGCACGAGCGTATCCGGTGTGGTTGTAGTCTCTGTGTGTATGTACGTGTCAGCTAGCGAAAGTTTTCTAATTAAGTTACTCATACGCACTGGCTGCCCGATTGCATATGACTGACGTAAAAGTAATTTTCATATATCAAGAGAAAGAGTGAATGGAGTTGCTTGGTTGCTTGGTTGCTTGCTTGCTTGCTTGTTGGCTGTGAAAGACGAGACCCCAAAAAACTTAAAGCACAAAAGCCAAAGTGCAAAGTGCAAAGCCGGCTTTAGGCCCACAACCCAGCTGTGGGGTGTTATCGTATACGTACAAGTACGTAGGGGGGGTGTGTGTGTCGGTGTGTGTGTGTGTATTAGGGCTGTCCCCAGGGTCCCAAGGCATCAGAGACGCCAGCCTATTAAATGGACTACGCTGCATCGTTTGACGTGCCTCCTAGGTGCACAGCCAAGGCGTAGCAACACAGCGAAAATAAGCTGCAACATTGTAAGATTGCTGCAACACTGAGCGAAACATGCTTAACATAATTATAAAGTTGCCTTTCTCCTTCTACGCTTCTCCTGTGCCTCCTTCTTGCTACCAGCCTCTACTTTGTCGTCCTTGTTAATTCAGACACTTTGCACGTAAAATGTATGAAACACACTTTTTCCCCCCACACCCCACACACCAGCAGCTGCTCCGGAGGCATCGTGTTCGTCGGGGGCGACTGCAACATCTTTGCAAGTCGTTGTTGGGCTGCTTGTTTTACTTTTAATTGGAAATCTCAAAAGATTAGTTATGCTTCGGTGCCAAGAAGCGGCCCAGAAGCTCCAGCAGTAGCTGCCACAGCGGCAGCATGCTCCTCGTAATTGGTGCATTGCAATTCAAGTGCTTGCCATGCACGAATGCCTGGCCGCCTTGAGGCCGCCTCAGAGAGAGGGTATAGTAGTGTATGTGAGTGCGGTTTGAAATTGTATGTAAGCAGGTCAAATAATGGCGCCAGCAAACAACACAGAAAACTTTTCCACATCCCAAACTAACGTATCCGTGACGTTGCATGGAACTTTGGCAGGGGCTTAAGGGGAAATTGATGAAGTTGCCAAGTGCAAGTGACAGCGCCTCATTCTCTCCGCTACTCTGCTGTCGCGCTGACATCGGGGATCTTTAAGATGATTTAGTGGCCCAGTGGCAAGGGAAAGCCAACTTCAATCTCTCTCTCTCTCTCTCTCTCTCTCTGTCCATACTTGTATCTTTATCTTTTACTCTCGCTTTCTGTGGCAGAAATCTGTTGTTTGGCTTGTCGTATCTAAGCCTGCAAAAAAAGAGTAAATCTCAACTAATTGCTTTTTGTAGCCAGCAGCTTTGATAGGGCACAGTCCAGGGCTAACAAAAGAGAGATCATGAAAAGAACAAAAAGGGATGTACATATATAATATGAAAATAACCAAATTGCAGTTGGGGGGGAAAAAGAAAAGTGCTTCGCACAACAGCAGCAGCAGCAGCAGGAGGAGAGGTGACTGAAAGGCCAAACTGCAGTTGGCCAAAGTTGTCAACGACACACAAAACTTTGGCGACAAAGTCCAATCAATGGTGAATTATCACCCATTTCAATGTGCCGCGCTGGCTGCTGCGGCTGCTCCTGCTCCTGCTCCTGCTTCTGAAAAACTTGAAAAAGTGCCAAGAAAGAAAAGGAAATAGCCGTAAGGAGGTGGAGTGCAAAGGAGAGCAAGGAATCAATATTTATAAGGCTTCTCAGCGCTTGTCAATATCCAAGAGCCGCCAAGAAAGATTTTATTTTTCCATTTGGCGTATTGGGTGTATCAATGGATTGTTGAGCAATTCAGCCGATAATTGACATGGAAAATGGATGGATATTCCAGTTAAACCTGACAGTTCCTTGCATCAGAATTGCACTTTGATGTATTTAATTATTTAGTGATGATAAAGATGCTCAAGCCTGCAAATTTCTTGAGATTTTTCCGGGATTCATTAAATGAAGTCTTAAATCTGAACAGTCTGTGGAATTCCTAAACTCCTCGTGACCTTTTACTTTGACAAAGTCTGCAATCTGCAATCTTTTCGCATACACGGAATTCCCACCGTTTGCCGCAGTCCACATAGAGCACAAGTTTTGCCGCTTGGATGATTTACGACCTGGAAATCTCATACACTGAACTCGTGGAGAGCCAAGGGAATGTTGAATTCGCTTAGATGAATGTAACTGCGAGTCTTCGTGTACTCTTGATAAAGCAAACTTTATTTCAGAGATTAATATAGCAATTTCCATCGTTTGTATTCGTTGGGATAATGCTTCTCAACTGGTTTCAGATGTCTACAAATTCCCTAAATATATGTGTATCTTTCACTTCTTTTCTCACTTCTTTTGTGTTGTAATGTTCTCCGAAATAACACTCTGCTTATCCATCAATCTGTTTAGTGCGATTCCAACATCAATTTCTCTTGAATTTCGCTCTTGAAGGAGTCGCCAAGACTCTACCTGTGTGTGCGTGTGTGTGTCTGTGCTCCAGGAAGCCAGGACTAACGCATAATGGTAAATTATGCAGACATATTGTCTTTCAAGGACATGCTCCTGCTGCTGGTAGAGGCTCAGAGGGAACAACAGTGGCAAAAGTGGTGCAAAAAATCTAAATCAGATAGATTCCAAAATTCTCTCAAATAATTAAAAATTTATATGAGATTTATGAATATTTCTATGCTTGCCAGAAGGCTTTAAATTATTATTTGATTTAATCTCCCCAGCTGCAGAGTTCTTTTATGTTTTATTGTTGAATAATTCTTTAAGCTGGGTGTGAAAACTTTCTTGTGCATTGCATTGGCTCAGAGGCAGCGGACATGCCAGAGACATTAGCATTCCCCGTTGTTGCTTTACTTGTGTTTGTTTTTTGTTGGTTTCCTTTTGCAGGTTTATGGCCAAGCTCCGCACCACCTTTATGTCTTGTGGCTGCCACTAAAAGCCCATTGTTTCCATTGTTTTAGCGTGCCATAGTGTGCCGTGGTTGGCCTGTTGGCCGGTTGGACGGTTGGCCGGGTGGATGGGTGCACTCGCCACAAAGTGCTTTTAGTAGTTTGGCCTTGTCCATCGCCAGATCGCCGAGAATAGAGGAGAGAGTGGAAGCAGAGCACATAGCTCGGGTGACTCCACTCCGTTGGCTTGTCATGTCTTTGGCTAGGCATTAAGTTAAGGCTGAGACGCGGGTACTGGTCTTAGGCACAGACATCCTTGACAACCCTGACAGTCACACTCTCTGCCCGCAAAACCCCATTTGTGCCGACACTCGGATGGGTGTCTAAACTGCGTTGGAGCTTTTTCCTCCTCCCCCACTGTCTGTTCATTAAGTCATTAGGCATTGTTCCGGCTCTGTGGTCGGTGTCCGTGCCAAACAGGTGAGAAATTGCTCATTTGTAATTTCAACGTATATCAAGTTGTTGAGGTCTTGACCCCACCTGAGGTCATGGTCAATTCAATTAGCTGCCTCCCCCCCTCCACATCACCAATTCTGGTTTCATACTAATTAGGAATCGGTAACCGTACAATCAGCTGGAGTGTGTGCTCACATCGCGCCTGCAGCTATTAAAGCCTCCCAATTTTCTCCACTCAGACAGGCACGAAACTTTGCCGGCTTTGAGCTGCATCCTTGACAGTTAAAGATGAACCCTAATGAGCAGCACGAGCAACACTTTTGGACTCGGCTGACTCGACTTCAGTTGGAATTTCCCTCGTTGGTACATCTCTTGAGGCTCTCTCTCTCCCTTTCTCTGGTTATGCTGATGTTGCCCCACTTGCCCTGGTGGGGCATGTGGCAATGCACTTTAATTAAAGAATGCCACTCACCTGTCCACGTGCATCCATGCTCGGCACTCTTCATGTCAAAAGGTTACTGCCCTGAAGATTGTTTTGCATGCTGTTTCTGTGTGTTATTTTTTCTCAGTTGTTTATTTAGCCCACACGAGTTTGTCTCTCTCTCTCTCTTTCTCTTGTTTATGGATGGTTGGCAACAAATAACGAATTCTGACTGCATTTTCACAGCAATTGTGGCAGGGAAAAGCTTGTTGAAATAATCGCTCCACTCGTCCGTTAGTCAGCGATTCATTTACTTAAGCCTTTCATTTCAATATGAAAGACAGACAGGCAGACAGCCAGCCAGACAGAGGCGGATTACACGTAATGGATGGACTTTTATTTAAATAGAGAAATGTATATGAATAAATAAATGTATTTTAATCGCAGTCATCATTGGGGGAAAGGAGTTATAAGTCAAGGAAGGGAGACACATAAGTCATCTCTCACTCACATTCATAAGATTGAGCAAACAAACAACATATCGAAAATATTTAGTACCTAAACGTGGGTGAATATATTTTGCTAGAACCCAACAAACACAATAATGGCGGAGACTGCAGCCGAGGAAGCAGCTGCCGTGCCGCAAGAGGAGCCCATGCCTGTGCCCCAGCAGGAAGAAACTGATGTGAAGGAGCCCCCAAACACTGGAGAGCCTATAAAGGTGGCTTCGGAGCAGCCAATAGAAGATACTGATGTCCAGCCACATCCATCAGAAAGTGAGGTTACAGGTGAGGAGACTGAGATAAAGCCGACTGAAGGCGAAGGGACCGATCCTCAGAAGTCTGGAAGTGTCCGCGAGACGGAGCTTCAGCGGGCAGCCGACGAGCACAAGAGACAGAAAAAAGCGAAGGCCAAAATGATGTTAAAGAGACTAAAAGGAGTGTCCGTGGAGGATGCCACCGAAGAGGCCAGCGAGTGGCCCGAGGAGGACGGCGTGGAGGGTGAAGAGAAGGAACCTGACTCTAAGCGCTCATCTGAAGATTCAGCGCTGCCTGATGTCCACAGTTCAGATGAATGGGCAGAACGAGTGGATTTTCTAGAGGACAAATTCAGCATTGATTCACTGTCCGACTTGGAAGATCCACGGGGTCCGCCCGAACACTCCTTCATGGCCGCATTTCTGCGGGAATTCGAGAGTTTGCCCTCATTGAGCGACATATCCGAGTACAGCACCTCGAGTAGGATCGAGTTGGAGATTCTTCCGACTGCAGAACCTGAGCGGGCTACTGTGGATCCCGGGAGATTTGTGCAGTCCGTTGACCGATACTCGGGCTCATCTTCATCTGCGCGGAGTCTCAGTGGTTCGTCGGAGGCGTCTGAGCACCAGTTGATCGTTGAAGAGGAGGAAGAATTAGAGGCACTGTCACAAAACTCGTTCCTGGGCAGCCTAATTGAGGAACCAGAGCCCGCCCCCAAGGAGCTGATCATACAGGATGACGCCGATATTATGGCGCAGATCTACATCGAATCGGAGAGCGAGGACGATGGCAAAGAGGTGGTGGATCCCAAGGTGGCCGCCTACATCCAAGTGAAAAATATTACAATCGATTTCCTCGATAGTCTGATCAATCGAGTGGTGCAAATTTCCGAAATTGGAGCCAGAGCAAAGCTCTTCGACAAGGGCAAAATGCTGGAGGAGATTGAGCGTCTTCTGAACATGTTCGTCCTGGAGAGGTACACCAACAGCATCCTCAACAACAAGATGGGGGAGCACTACAAGCGCAACAGAAAGCCGGACAAGTACGCCACGCTGCCGTCACAGGTGGAGGTCATTGAAGGTCGCCGATATATAGCGGCCCTCAATCTCGTCGATAGCCTCATGGAGCGCTCCACTATCATCAAGAAGAATGGTTGTTATGTCATTTCACGCGCTCAGTTGGAGCTGCATGCCTGCTACACGTTGTCAAAGTTTGTCACGGAGAATCTGGAGAGCTGCATGCGACAGAATCTGCTGCGCCAGGATTCGGACAGATTGCGGCGACTGCTGGATGCCGAGCTGCGACGCATGGAGAATCTGCGCAACGAAATCAGCGAGAAGCGCTACGAACTCAATCTGAATCTACGCTCCCTGGCCGTCATGGCGGAGGTAACTACGGGTTATAGTACTTATCCTGTGTCCACTTCTTTCTATTGTTTGCCTTTGTGTAGAAAATGCGTTTAGTGGAGAGAATAACAGACGATTTGACGACATCTCAAGTCCAAAATGCCACCGACAATATCATACATTTGGATAAACGACTTGAGGGTAAGAGAAGGTCAAGGAATATCCTTTATGCTCATGTACCATAACCCCTCCGCAGATCGCACCAAGGATGTGCTGGCCATGCAGGGAAATTATAAGAAATTTCTGATCGAAAAGACTTGCATACGCGAGAAGCGCACCATGATCGCAGAATCCTTGGGTCTGGCCAAGGAGGTGCTGTACGAGAAGGGCGAGCGGCTGAATAAGTTGCGGCATCACTTGAGCGATATTCAAGCTAAGCGCCTGAAGATCAAGACCACTCACGCCAAACTCCAGGCCAAGGGAGGTCTGCTCTTCCAGCCAGCCCTCATGTATGAGTATGACAAGTGCCTGGAGGAGGTCGAGGGCAGGCGTGTGACTGTCGGCAAGCTGCGAAAGACCTACAACGACTTGACGAATCGCCTGAGTATGCTTGGTAGGCGCATCAATTGTGGGTTTGCTCTTTGACTGGTACTTTAATTTTCTCCTCTGTTATAGAACGTGCCAAAACAACGGCGACCGTGGCATCAGTTTGATGTCTCATCGATCACAATTGCTTGCCGTTCAGTTTCAGGCTCCTTTATTCTCTGTTTATTTCAACACAAGATGCACCCTCACTTTTGAACATTAAACTTATGCTTGTATGAACACAGTAACTATTCAGAGCGAGGCTGTGAATTAGCGTAAACATTTTGAACATGCATGCCAGCATTTCCGCATATCAATTACGATTACTGGCCACAGGCGTGTGCACATCTCAAGCCTCAAGTTAGAGCAGAACAATGCAGGCATATCATCGAGAGAGAGAGGGAGATGGAGATTGCCATTATTCGGTCCAGCGATGCGTCACCTCAGCCGGCAGACACAAACAACATATGGCCGACAACACTCGTTGCTCGGGGCTTTACTTTTGATTCAACTTCTGGCAATGCTGCGGGGGGTTCGTCTGTTGCTATTGCCGCTTCTTGTGACTAGAAAATGGCGCCGTGCCGTTGCCTGAAAATTACAATTTGGCTTGGGGTTTCGTTGTCTCGTGTTACGCAGACACACTCGCAGCCGTACAAATTCGTTATCGTTTTGTTACGTGTGATTTTATTGCCTGGCGGCAAACAATGACGAAGGAGACTAGATACCAACGACATTTGTGTGGCATGCATTGCGTATACGTGATGTGTGTGATTGTGTTGCCTCGATGGATGTTGTTTATTGGGGGATGAAACCGAAATACCTTTGACAACAACATTGTTCCGCTAAATTACTTTGGCAACAAACACGAGATAGAGAAAGAGAGAGAGAGAGAGACTCATAGAAGTAGTTGTTCCGCGCACGACAAGCAAATGAAAAGCTCAATATTGAATACGTAGCCACAAGAAGACTCTCCTGTTGACTCTTCAAGCTTCCTCTTATTCTCTCTCTTTTAAAGTGCATTGTGGGGTTTGCTGCTGCTGTCTGCACTCCATGCGCCACACGTGGTATCCACTGGCTGATTATTTAAAAATTTATGAAGCCACCCAAGCGCAGCTGAAAACTTTTGCACAAAACTAAACAAACTGCTGCAACAACGAGAATGAGAATGGGGGTAGAGCTGCGGCGAAGATAGCAGTGGGAGAGCGTAACAAACACGGCAACACGGACGACAACTATGATGACGACAACGATGCCGACAGCAGCAGCAGCAAAAGGAGCAACAACAGCATTGAAGCAAGAAAGAAGGAGAAGCGTAACAATGATGCGAAGCCTCGCATACCCTGGCACAACCAACGATACGTTGGCTTAAACTTTCTTAGGGTATACCTCTGCTAATACCGCTAATACCCCACTTTGAAGAGTAAAAGAAAATAAAAAGCGTGCGAGTGTGGTGCAGGGGCAGGGGCAGGGGCAGGGCAGGGGCAAGGGCTGGGGAGGTGAGTGTTTGTTCTGTATTCCTTTGGCGAGTTTCACAAACCACTGAAGCAGCCACCCAGAACACCACCCCCTTGCCACGATTCGCGGTGCGTTGCTGCTGCTGATAATGTGGGGCGTAGGAAACTTTCAACATAGTTTGCTACTTAACTCGAGCGTAATAATAAAAGTGCTAAATCTTTGCTTATATTCACTTTGAGGGCCCTCCGGCGGAGAGTTCTGCAAGGGGTTACGGGTCAGCGATGGCAGCAGCGTTGCCAGTGAATATTAAGAGCCACAAAAGAATACCATTATACGTGAGTTTCATGCCACACACACACTCAGTGCGAAGGGGCAGGGCAATGCTTGGTCTGGGCTAGTGCAGGCCACTGGGCATTCCAAAGAGGTGAACGCGGAAAGCAAAGCGTCAGCAATTATACAAAATGCTGCAAAGCAAACAACCAACAACACAGCCAGCAACATCAGCAACACCAAAATAACTCGACAGCAACAACCTGCAGCAACAACGGAATGTTCCAAAGTTATGTGTGAAAAGTTTCTACGTTTTATGGTGTTTAGCAAAAAGTTGGATCCTGCTCTGTCCTGCTAAATATAAAGAAGAAGAGCTGCCACTAGGAGTAAATATTTTTATGTTTTTCTCTTTAAAACAAGCTTAGCTTGAAGGTACAAAATTATTACTTGGCATAGAATTACCTGAGGAAAAGTTTCTTCTTCAAATAAGTTTCTCTTTGTGGATTCTTGAAATTTCTAAACTATCATTGACACCACAAAATGGATTTAAAAAGGGAAAGTTTCTGAATTCTTGCAAAGAACACAGACAAGAGGGACTATGGGGATATTTGAAAATATTTTAAGTGTTTAATCTGCTCATTTAAAAATATGTCTATTATGTATGGTTAAATGAGGCATGAGGTAAATGCCACTTTGGCTAATTAAACGTTGAAAGTAATCAAATTAATTAGCCTGAATCAATATGATTATTGGCTGGCAATTCAAACTCAAAATCAAATTCATTAATGCACATGGCCTTATCAAAGCACAAATACCAAACCCTCACACCCTCCCACCGCCCACACAGAAGCTCCTGCCAAAAGCGTACCACAAAACTATTTATCGATGTGTTCGCTCTTCCCTTTCGGGTGAAATAATATTGTGAGAGCTGCTGGTGGAGCGGATGACACGAATTTCAAATGCTTCAAATTATACTAATATTTCCGAAAATTTCCATTTCTGATAGCAACGACAACTCACCCACATATGTAAATATGTACAAGCTTATGTATATATGTATGTACATACATTTATGAATAAAGAGACTGTGATTAGTGTGCTATGAATACCCCAATCGAGCTATAGACACAGTCTGCCTCCGGCTAGACTCTCTCTCGTCTTTCCCGCCTCCACGTTTTGCTGCAACTTTTCGGCTGCCACGTAATTCGGGTGCTTTTTATGGCTCTCATTTTTCAATAAATTTGATTACGCGGCGCTTTGTGATTATTGGTGCGTGAAAAAATAAATTTAATTTTTTTGTTCGCTTTTGTTTTGGCCGCCGCTGTCGTAGATGCCACCTAAGCCTGGGAGGGTAGGGGTCATAAAATATATTGGGTTTGAGCCGACCCGGTACTGAGCCGTGAGCTCGTAAACTTCGCGCCAAAATAAATAATAAACTTGCGCTCCACCGTTTCCACCGAAATTTGTTACACTTTTCCTTTTTTTTTTCTTTTTTTTTTTAGCCCATTCCCATCATATCCGGCACTGCGCCATCGTCCACCTCTGGGTCCGTATGCGTGTCCAAATGGTCGCCGCTGATAAGCAGCAGCGTCAAGCGGGTGTTTAAACTGGCTCGCACAGGCTTTTGCTTTTCCCAGGGTACACCAAGGGGTGTGTTAAGTTTTTGTGGACGATGCGACTGAGCTGGAAAAGACTTTTTCGCATACAAATTGCGAAATGAAAGCGGCTTTCATGGTGGAGAGTTGAATGCAGCAATCAGACGAAAGGAGATTGGGTCATTGTGTGCTCGAGACTGTCGTGAAAAAACTTTCTGTTCTCTCAATCGATCTTGAGGCAGCGCTGGCAGAGCGAGAGATCCCTCTCGTTCAGCAGAAAGGGAGAGAGCAGAGCAGACTGCCATGGCTGACTTATATAAATTCTTGTTATTATACAGGGTAATCCTCTAGTCTATGCTAAGTGGCGTATTTGTTGCATGTTTTATTTATGATTTTTGATTTGGGATACTTTTTACTTTTCTCCACTCCTCCCCTGGCCACCCGCCTATACATACATACATACATACGTATTTATGCATATATTTTTTATGGCTTTTGCTGATCGCCGATGGTTGGGCAGCCGGGGGTAAAAAATGCAATTTTATGGCGCTTAATTCTGGAATGGAATCCATGCTCCAGTCCACACACAAATCGCATTCTTATCGGGCCAGCAGTCAGGGGGAGTGGCGGGAATGCCGGGAGTGCCGGATTGCATGGCTTATTACCAACATTCGATATTACAAATGAAATTAAAATGCCAAAAACACACTCTGGGCCGCTGGGCCGCTGGGCGTGATGTCAATTAACTGTGGGACTCTGGCCTCGTGGCTGCCAGCTGCACTGGTCCGGAATAAATGCTTATGCAAGAGCAAAGCGATGCACAAAAATATCTCCGGTTGCGTGGCAGTTAAGTCCGCTGTAATTCCAGGACACTGCCCGAGTCTTAATTAAGTTGTGGCTTATTTATGCAATATGAAACGTGCATTAATCTGTTAAATATTTTAACGCGTGTAATAATAGCGCATTAGCTATGTAAATTGATGTGCCGCGGCCACACAATCCAGCATTTTGGACCGTTTATCAATCGATTTCATATTATGAATCAATTAATCCTCATGAGGTGATGCTTTAAAAATCTGTAACATGCTGTAATCTACGCTTAAATTGGTTGCCAAAGATTGTTTAAACGGAAAACAAAACCCAAGGCAATTAAAACACGTAAAAGATTGGATATGATTTACGCCAAGCTAAGATTAAATTGTTTAAATTCAAACATTGATGGCAGAATGTTCCTCGGATTCCCCCAATTCCATTCCCAACAAGAATCTAGATCTCTGTCGCAAAAAGGAGAACGAGAAACTGTTGACAAAAAAATTCCCTAAAAACCACAAAGCTGGCCACACCCTTTTGCAGTTCGCAATGATTGTGTCTCTGTCGTTGCAGGAGTGCCGCTGCAATGTTGGCCAATGTGGCAGAGTATCGCCCATGGCAACTGTGGATTGCCTTTTTTTACGATGCAAATCGAACAATTTGCACTTTTATCTCACGAAACGCGACTTGCACGCTTAGCACCAGCGAATGCCTTGATTTATGGGCCATGGGCGATACTCGTACATTGCCGATTCGATGGGTGGCTGCATTTGCATGAGACAAATGTCAGTTCAAACTTCATTTGTCTCTGTCGCGCCAAACAAAATTCAATTTAAAAACATGCGGAACCCCGTCTTGAAGCTAGAAATGCAGCAAGTCCTCGATGCTGCCGCCCTCCTGCCTCTGGCAAGCCCAACTTAAAATGGTGCAATTAATGCGAATTTCAGCTGGGATCACAGCCCCCTCGCCATCGCTGGATCAACAGAAAACTAAGCGCAAGTTTATTGGCAGTGTCAATGTGCTGGAAGTGAAGGCAAGTT